GGAGGGGACGTGGGGACGGCACAGAAACACAGAGTCAGGAGAGGACGTGGGGACGGCACAGGCACACAGAGTCAGGAGGGGACGTGGGGACGGCACAGGCACACAGAGTCAGGAGGGGACGTGGGGACGGCACAGGCACACAGGCTCTAAAACCTCTGGGGCACATTGATGTCACAGAGACAGTGTGATCATGCAGGAGCAGCAGCTTAGGAGAAGGTGGAGGTAAGGCTACCTGACCAGCATGGGACTCAGACCCGGGTCTGCAGCCAAACCCCCCATCGAAGTTCATACAGGACAGGACAAACTCGACCGCCTTGTTTAGGTTGATCTCCTCCAGTTTGCCCTGGAAAAATACAATCCTGCCATTTTAGCTGTTTATGGTCACAAAGAGGTAGGCTGCATTCACTGACAAGACAGAAAGGAAATTTAAATGCTGAAATGCCTCACCAGTAGAGCCAAGGTGGCCACTGCACAGAAGGAGAATCGTGTATCGATTTCACCTGCAAACATCACAAACACAGCATGATGTCTGTGAACGTGTGAATACACGGCCGCCTCTAAGCAGAAACTCAGATATCAAGCGAGGAAAGAGTAGCATGAAGCCTGCGGCACATTTTAACAACAACACATGAAGGTTCCCCACAAAACTGCACTACCAGACCGAGGCTCACACACACAAGCAGGAAGATCCATAGGCCTGTGTATCTAAGCACACATCCTGCACCAATCAGGAAGCAGGAAGCTCACCCCACTTATCTCCAGTGAAAGAACCATCATCCTGCTGCAGGCTCTTCACATACTCCACCACCCTGTCGATGTCAAGCACGCTGACGCTGTCGTACAGGGTTAGGATCTGGAAGGCAGCACAACACAGACCTTCAGAAGGCAATTCCAGCCTGAGGAGAGCATGCTTCATGTCAGACAGTAGCTCTTACGGGAGCCGGCTGCACATCCTGATATGTGGGCCATGAAATTTACGCCACAGAAGCAGGTGCCTCCTTAAAGAATTCCCTGTTACTGCTAATTTGTTCAGGTATTCAAATCCGGTCCTCAACACCAAATCCAGGCCTTGTTTTCAGTTCTCCCAGGTAGTTAGTTTAATAATTACTGATTCTGATTGGGTGTAGAGGCTTCACACCTGGCTCACGGGTAAATGAAGGCTGGAGAATCAGCAATGCTTGGACTTTGAGGACGATGATTTGAACAGCCCTGATCTAGAAGAATGAGTAGTAAGAAAGTCTGTCTGTCTAAGAGCCGGTGTCTGCAGACTAGGGTTGCAAAATTCTAGGAATATTCTTGTTAATTCCCATACTTTCCCGTTAATTCCCATGGAAAGTTTCTAATGTGGAATATTTCTAAAATTCCCCAGCTTAACTTCCCATGGAACAGAAAGTTTCAGGAAAATTTCCAGAAATTTTCCAGCCCTTTGCAACCCTACTGCAGACACAGGTTTCCAGACCCAGGCCATGAGGCTGCATGCTCTGCCTCACCTGAACGGCGCTGAGCGTGTACAGTAGGTGTGGGTCGTGACCCAGGCTGGCGCTGATGCCCCCACACTCGTGCTGACAGGACCTGACGAACTCTATGATCTCATCCTTGTTCATGCGATGCAGCTGTCCCATCAGGTCCATGACGGTGAGTCCCCAGTAGATGCCACTCATGCGCAGGTACTCGGAGAGCGCATATTCCTGGGGGCGGAGGGGGCTGCTGAAGGCACTGAAAAGGGCCACAGGACACAAGCCACCGGGGACTCATACTTACATAGTCGTCCTTCTTAGAGCCATAAGCTGCAATGTAATCAGCATGTTTGTCCAGCAAGAGTGTCTTCGGTGCATCAGGCCTTAGGACAACATCCTTTATTGGGGTCCCCTGTAAAAAACACTTCCGTATTAGAACTGGTTTAAGCGTAGCTCTGAACCTATACTGTTCAAAACAAAGCTATGAAACACGTTTTAAATCAGAATCAGCTTTATTCGCAAAGTGTGCTGGGGCACACAAGTAATTCGGTTCTGCAAGAGACTCTCTAGTACACAGACAATAAATGTACACTGTACAAACAATAAATTACACTATACAATATCTTATATCTTCCAAACCGCTTTATCCTTCGTGGGGGGTCCGGAGCCTATCCTGGAAGCTACAGGCACGAGGCGGGGAACAACCCAGGATGGGGGGCCAGCAGGGCACACACACACACACCATTCACTCACACATGCACACCTATGGGAAATTTAGTAACTGCAATTAGCCTCAGCATGGTTTTGGATTGTGGGGGGAAACCGGAGTACCCGTAGGAAACCCCACGACGACATGGGGAGAACATGCAAACTCCACACACATGTAACCCAGGTGAAAAACTCTTCCAGAAATTTATGAGGTATGGAATAGGACAACACAAAGTAACTCCAGAAGAGCATTCGCTTTAAGGATATTATTCATAACTAATAGCATGTTGTTCAGCGAATAGTGAAATAATTCATATGAATCGCGATTTGAAAAGGTTTGTGTAGCTGCCCAGCAGATTTTCATTTTTATGGTCCTTGCTGAAATGAACGAACGATGCTATTCAAAGCTCAGTCTAAAACACCAGAGTAAAACCGACAAGGACACTAAGCAGATAAAAACATACATAAAAAGGCGCACGGCGTGAGAAGTTTGCAAAAAAGCCCTAAATGTAAAACAGAAAAGCGACACGGGACTGACAGAGAGAGAAAACGCTGAAGATCCAGTCCATACAGTGGGGTGAGCACCCTGCCGTAGATAAGCTGTCATATTAAAGCACTACTAATCAAACGGCCAAGATACAGCCCCTCGTAAAGTGGCTAAATAGCAGATTCTGGGTTGAAAACAGATGGTTATCTTTCTTTAAATTATTCCAGTCTTAACGTCCCGCTTCTTATGATGCTTCGCTCGCCTGCAAGGCTGTGCCCAGGTATGACAATTAATGCAGCAGATGAATAAACCAACGACTCTTTTTAACAATGCCAAACGTTAAATTAAAAAACACTGAAATCCAAATATCTGATAAGACATACCATCTTCGGGTGCTGTCTCCGAACCGTCTGCAGTCGCAGCCACTGCGTCACGTTACGTCATAATAAGGAGACGTAATTCTTCTGTCATGTGACATTGCAGTTGTCATATGACACAGTTATCGTAAGCGTGTTCCGGTGAATGTCATCTCTTTAAAGAATGCTAAAATGTATTATACCTGACATTCTTCCAGCTTGCAGTTCCTTTGGAAATTAATCATTGCACGTATGCATGTCCAGCAACACGCAGTACATGTGTATTGTCCTTAAATGTTAAAAAATAAAAGCTAAAAGCCCGAGCACTCCACGATGTAAATCTAAGTGCGCTACCATAAAATAACATTTACATTACAACATAACATTTTGCGGTATTATTTTTTATTACAACAAGGGTGATGCAAATATCCATCTCATTCAGGCTGCAAATCTTACAATTCGCTCAAAAGAGCTCCGAGCAAGTAACCTCGGAAGACGGAGGAAGGTCGTCCACATGAGATACAATAATGCCAACAAGTCACATTACATAGTGATTATTATAAAAGCTGTACCAAATATGCATACTTTGGCAATCTTCCTAATTATTTTTTACAACTCATGAGAGAAGCAGAGACAAAAGAAGGATCTGAGAGACTCTGCATAACCAAGGCACTGGCTAGCATAAATCGGTGCTGTAGATGCCTTTATAGGTGGACGGTTTGTGTTGACTTCAGTTCTTGTACTTTGCAAGATGTTCACGAGATATGATCAATCTCTGGATTTGGGCTGTGCCTTCATAAATCTGAAACGAAAGCCGACTTCAGTTACACCCTCCAAACAAGTTAGCGAATATGCTGAATTCCAAACTGTACATGTTTAACTATATAGTTAAAGGAGACCTGGTAGATTTTGGCATCCCTCATGAGCTTCTCCACTGGATATTCACTGTTGAATCCATTTCCTCCAAAGATCTGCACAGCATCGCTGGCCACCTGGTTGGCGATGTCCCCGGCAAAGGCTTTGGCGATGGAGGCATAGAAGGTGTTTCTGCGGCCCTCGTCTACCTCCCAAGCCGAGCGCTGGTAGGCCATGCGCGCAAGCTCCACCTTCATCGCCATCTCAGCCAGCAGAAACGCTATGGCCTGATGCTGGATGCGTAACAGAGGACAGCGATGGGCATGCAAAGTGTCTCATGGAGGCAAAGATACAGGAGTTTGTGAGAAAGTGAAATTTTACATTTTCCCCAGAATTCTCACCCCCCCCCCCCTTCGC